GGTGGTCGGTGTAGTTTATTCAAGAGGCATAAGGTTTTTTAAAGCCTACCAAATACTGAATGTAAGCTTTTCCCCTCTTTTGAAGCTTTAATTGGGAAAATTTAAGGACTTTGGGGGCTATATTATATTGGCTGACATGCTAAGTTTCCAAGGTACTTTTCAGGAGTATTTTATGTTAGCCATGCAAGAAAGTTTTGGTTTCCATCTGTTTTTCACAGAAACCAATTTTTTCAAAGTCTGCTTTTCTTCGGGACATTCTGGTTGCAAACCAGTTGTTTCTAAGATCACTACTAAGCTGGGGTTTCTTGGGGCTTTTACTTTATAGCATTCTTAATGCTGCTGAAGAAATTAATCTCTCTCTCCCAGTCTTAGCCTTTGTCATCTAGAAGGTGCTGCTCTGCTCTCCCCTGAGACTAGCATTTTGGTGAACAAATCTAAACAAAAGCCAGCTCTCCTGAAAGACTGGGCATTACATGTTGCTGCAGACAGGCTGGGATTTCCCACGCCAGCCAGAGATATTGCCAGGGATTGCGCTGATGTCTCAGCTTATGCTCTTAGGTACGTGTCGGAGGTTACACGGCGAGGCAGTGATACTGCTGCTCAGTGACATGAAACGGCAGCCTGACCACATGTTCTTAACTCAGCCCAGGATGGAAGAATTGTGGTCAAAAGCTTTGTTTGACAGGGTAGGCAAGTAGAAAATGTCACCTATGTGCAACAAATTACAGCCTGTCACGGTTGTGCTCCACACAGACCCTGACAGCTTTTGAAAGCTGAAATCATGTACCCTCCCACCTGTACAAATTTGAGCAAGTTGCTTCTGCTGTGCCACCACCAGCCAAGTGCTCTCTCCAGAATTAATTGCGTTCATTTTAATGTGGGACGTGAAAATGGTGAAAGTTCTCCCCTTTCTGCCCTGCTTGTTTGTTATCTCTAAGAGGGTGAGAAGCACTACCTCCTACCAATGCAAAAGATTTCTCAGCTAGATGAAATGATTTACATGATGAATAACCACATAATGACAGGCATGAGACAAGTGCTAAATTTACTACAGCTCTGTACTGGCTGATCTTGCACAAAATGAAGCTACTTAGTAATAACTGTTGCTTCATGTCCTGCTTCTGGATTAGTGCAAAACATCATTGTTGTCCCTCAGTTCTTACAAAATAAACCATATAGCTTTGGCAACGGTACTCAGAAATGCTGCCACCTGTGGTATTTCCACACTGGAACTATCAGTTGTTTGCCGGGAACAGTTCCCTGGGGGTCACGCAGTGCCTCTGCTGGGAGACAAGTGTTCCAGGTACCTGCAAAACCTTTGCCTTGAAAAGCCACAGTGATAACTGACCTGCACAGGAAGGTCTTTAACAAACTGCAGGAAGACTGTGTTTCTAATGGCTCTGGCCTTCTCCATTAGCGTGACAGATAACTGCTGCTGAAATTAGTAAAACAGGTTGTTTACAAGTCCTGACATAATCTGTATTTTTCTGAAAGTCTGATAGACAGTAATATGCCATTATGCAGACTGCAGGTGCTGCAAGGTTCTTTTTTTTTTTTGACAGACAACAGCTCTAGGGGATTTTTCAGTATAATGTTCTTTTTTCAGTTACAGGTCTCTTGATGAATGGTTGGTAGAGAAAGTAGATCTTTGCAGGCTTAAAATTTGATCCAGTGTATGTGGACAGGAAAGCAGGACCCAGCATACCCAGTCGCACATTCAGTGGTGTGAGCCACACAGCTTGTCTCTGTCTCGCCTTCTCACTCTGTCAGATGGAAGTAGTTTTTTCTTCACAGTCAGGGGAGCTGCAAGATGCACTGTTAGTTTGTATCAGTGTTTGGAATCCAAGGCACATGGCTACCTGAGGGCCTTGTTTGGGATCCCCTGGAGTCAACAACAGTGGCCTTTTGAAGCAGTTCTAATTACTAAGTAATAGTGACGTATTATAATCCGGATGTATCAGCTACTACATAATGCTCAAGCTGAAACTCCTAAATAGCATCCACTTACAGCTCGAGTCCTACATCTGCATTCAAGGTCTTCAGTAAACTGTCTGGTTTCCAGAGGCACTGAGCTGCAGATATGATGGGAGATGACATAGGCTATCTAAATCTGCAGAAGACCATGCTGCTGAAATCCTAATCGCTGAAGGCTTTTTTTGCTTGAAAAGTCTTTCCAGAGTTAGTAAAAAATAATGGTCACACAGCTCCAAAAAGAAAAACTAGGACAGTCCTTTCAGGTGGATGCATATGTGGGTTTATGGACATGCAGAACTACTAATGATATACTACCTTCTTGTCCAACTCTCCTCCTAGGATATTAGAATGTCCATTAAGCAGACAAAGTTAAACTTCTAGCTGTTGCTGCTCTCAGCTCAAAAATGTAATTAGACAGGTCTATGTGATGATGTGATGACCAGTTTCCAGCTAACTTGGGGATGTTTCTCATGGTGTTTCTAAACATGCCACAGAAGTGTTAGTGAGCACAGGACAATCGGCAACATGGACTGGGACAACAGGTATCTGTTTTGTTGCTGCTTGACTAGGGACACACCAAACATTAGCTGGGTATCAAAAATGAGGAGAAAGATAACTGCTTTGAAAGAGTTAAAAATATTCTGCCTTCTAAAAGGGCTGCTTGGAATGTTTTCCTGTGGTTGAATGACACCTCATTGTCATTTTAAAGAAACATGGAATAGGAGAGGGTCTGAGAGTCTTACAGCACATTGCAGACGAGGCAGAATCTATCCAACGCTATGGCTGACCAAACAAGGCGCTGCCAAAATAAGTCTGTCGCCTGTCAGCAGAGTTGATGCAGTGCTCTGTAGCAGACATGGAATTTCATCCCATGATGTCCCTTACTTCCCAATGCTAGTCATGGCACTGCCCATACTGGAGCTATAGCTCCTTTTTTTTTTTTTCCTTTTTTTCTCTTTTTGGCTTGAAAAGTATCAGGCATCTGGTCCCTGAAAAGGATTCTGGAACAAGTTTGGTGTAGCAGACAGCAGTAGCAGGTGACTCAGCTGAACCACCTGAGAGAGTAAATGAAACTAGAAAGGTCCCAGAAGGGATACTAATGAGTAGAAAAGGAGTGAGAATTTCTGATAATGGTGCACAAACCCTTTTTAATTGGACTATCTGTGGCTCTTGTATACCTTTACAAACAAGTTTCTGATGGAGAATGCCTACTGACGCACACTGATTTTATGGGTTTTTTTGGACTTAGTTCAGACCAAAAAGGCAAAAGGCCATATTCTGCACCCTGTCTTTGCGACTTCTGTTGCAACAGGATATACTCTGGAGAGCAAATATATAACTTTGTGGAATCATTAACACCTTTTTTGGGAGTTTTTTGTTCAGATCTCTTCCTTCCTGCACACATTACATATTCTTACACCCTACAGAACAGGGCATGAAAGGTTTCTGGGAAACTGAGCTCTCCCTTTTCACAAGAGGAGGACAGACATGCCCCGAGGTCCTCCTACGCAATACCAAATGCTGTGCATTCAACAGATCTGCTGGTTAATGATCTTGCCCATAAGTAATGTTTTAACCATAGAGTGGCCTTTGTTTGCTTCAAAAGCCACAAAGCCAAAGAGGAAGTGTAGGAGAACGTGGGCAGGATGGTGGCCAGGAGCCTCATGACCTCATCTTTTTCCACCACGCGGGGATTGGTGGCCGTGCCTGGGACAGGGTTTAAATTCCCTGAGGCCAGGTCGGAGATGTCAGGCGTCGGGGGACGAGGGGAGAAAGCCAGAGCTGCTGGGAGCCAACTGGCTGGAGCTGCTGCTGGGATCACTGAGAGCACTCTTCTCGCAGCTGACCTCCAGCATCAGAATAGGTAACGTTTTGCTTTTTTACCTGACACGTAACATTCTGTCTGCAGCTTTAGTCAAGAAAGCATTGGACAGGACTTTGAAAACTGCTTCACTGGACAGGGACATTTGCTGTTTCTCTGTGGCAAAAGGTGTGCTTTTATAGGAGAAAGGTTGCTTTAGTGATGCAAGGTATTATACATAATCATAATTTTAAACCTGTGTGCTGATAGAGGTGACTGAAAACCCTGCCACTGAATCAACTGCTGGAAACTCAAAGCTGGTACTTAAACACAGAAAGCTTCCTCCCTCGTGTAACCACTGTTTGGCAGTGTCCCTGTTTCTCCTGGCAGGCTTGTAGTTTGTGCTGCACGCTGCTGAATGGGAAGGACATGCACCCTTCTCTGTGGGACTCTTGAAATTGAGTGTCCAGTCTGAGGGCCAGTCTTACTAATGTATTTTAAATGCACCTTTAGTAGCCTTTCTTTCCTGCTATGGTTTACAAAAGTTTTAAATGCCTGTTGTTCATCAGTAAATCAGTTTAATTTCTCAGGGATGTTCCTTATCCTGGGAACTGGTCTGTCAGTAGCAACTCCTGCTTGAAAATGCAGGTTATTCTGCTCAGACTTCTGGAGGGGGATATAAAGGTCTATCAATAAAAGCAGTTTATGCTCATATAAACTGAGTTTACTCACAGCCACTCCAGTTAATAACCCTGAAAACTAGTTTTAAAATACCTGAAAAGAGAATCCAAGCTGAGTGTGTCTTGTCATGTCTCTTCTGATGAAATGATGTTAAATGAACAAAGATAAACCAAAGCTGATCTTTATAGCACATCGTTTTTCACAAAGCTTTTCCTTTGCCAGTGCAAGTCAGGATGGCAGATGACAGAACGAGTCTGCATGCCTTCGCATTGTGCCTACTATCACTATTGCTCAGCACTTTTCAGGACCTGGTTTTAAAATTCTTGTAGCTTTTGAGTTGCTAAGTCATTACAAAACCAGCTGGGTGTGGGGTGGTGGTGGGGGACAGAGGAAAAAGACTGGCATGGGCAGGTTGAATCCTTAGCAGAGAGCTTGTCTTGGCACGGCGAAGTACACCAGGAGAAAAAAAAAGCCTGTGGCATTTTTGTGGTATTTTACCTTGTTGACTCACTGTTCCAAATTATTTTCTAGGTAAAATCTCACAATGAAGGTGACAGTTCTGTGTTTATGCCTTATCAGCATCACCGCTGCATGGCCAGTGAGTAAATCACAAATGCCTATCAGCAATCACTTGCATGTTTTCTTTGCGTATTAGCAAGAAATTAATACTGACAAATGCTTTCTCTTTTCTCCCTTCCAGGTGAGTAAATCCAAGCAGCATGCCATTTCTGTGAGCTCAGAAGAAAAATCTGTAAGCTCCTTTTGTCTTTCTATTCATTGTCTCTAATAAATCCTTTTTTAATTTTTTCCTCTTTAATACACATTGTCTGATACTCGATTCGTGATTGTAGCCGTTTGCAGAACATGTCCACACCTGGCTGTTATGAGCCAGTTTCTCAGGTAGCCAAAGCACAGAGCCACTGACATCATCAGACTTTCGCCATGTTAGATGTCCTGGTTGCGGACTTTTGTTAGCTGTATCTCTGGACCAGCATTGGAAACCTTTTTTCTTACTGAAAAATGTGTAAGCTGTCAGTTAAAAAGAGAAAAGGAGTGTAGTGTGGCACAACTACTATAATCCGCATTCATTAGTGTGGATCAAATGACAGTATTTGATGTTGGAAGAGCACTTTAATCTCATTCCCATGATTTTCTGGAGTGGTGTGAGTGAACACTATTAGTGTTGTGTATAGCTATTTATTTGATTTATACTCCATTGCCAGCTACTACCTATGTGAAATCAATTCTTTGCTCTGAGAATCAGATACTGCATTTAGTTTAGAGTCTTCATGATGTGGGAGATAAATCACACTTGGGAGAAGGACCTGAGAATTAGCAGAGCAGATAGTCGTTAGATGTAACTCCAAATTTCACTCAATAAAAACGAGCTGGAGAAACTGATCTGAAATTCCCCAGGCTCTGCCAGTGGGAGAGGCACATCTGTATTATATAATTTGGGTATAATGTTCATATGGGATCATGGCTTGTTCTGAATCCTCTTGCTACTGCAATGAATTGCAGAGGATACATCCTGTAAAAAAGGAGTATGTATTGCATTTGCCATGTCTGCCTGCAAATGGAGGCTGTGATGAAGGCAGCTTTGCCTGCTCCTGTATGCTCCTTTGTGGATTAACCCCCCTATTTTTTTCTCTTGAAGGACGCCAGGGGCCATCAGACACACAGATACCACCACCACCACAGGAATTCTCAGTCTTGGGAGGGTCTGCATCACCCACAGAATGACCTGGCATCACCTCAGCAGGTATGGGCAACTAACTGGAAGAGAAAGCAGAGCATCTTTCAACGGCATGCTGATCAGCTCTGCTGTGTATGCCTTTGTGTGCTAATGGTGAGTTTTATGTTGTTTTCAGACTCTGTACTCTTCAGAAGAAAGCGTGGATGTCCCAGTACAACCAGTAAGTGTTTTGAACAGCAAAATCCAGTTGAGTGCTGCAGGGCACCCAGTGTGTACCAGCACTCATTTTTCTCAATCAAATGTGGCTCTTGTGGCAACATCTCTCCCTAAATAAAGCAAGTCCTCTGGCCAAGGTGAGGCGAATTCAGAGCAATTTGTCCACATAGCTCCTCAATAGTGCATAGGCCCTGGGTAAGCAGGACAGATACCAGTCTGCATATCTCACATACATGTTTGTTTCCCTGATGCAAATTAAATGTTTTCCAGCACTTTCCTGATGTGTCAAGCAAGAGCCATGAAGATGTGGATGATGATGATGATAATGATTCCAGTGACACGGATGAATCCGATGAGGTTGTCACAAGTTTTCCCACAGACATTCCAGTAACTGTACCCTTCCCACCTTTCCCTTTCACCCGGGGAGACAATGCCGGCAGAGGCGACAGCGTGGCCTACAGGGTGAGGCCAAAAGCCACAGCAGTGAAGTCTAGCAGACTCCGGAAAGCTGCAAAAAAGGTAAATAGCGCTGAGCAGTGGTACCCAGGTTTTTGGAAAAGGGTAGTGAACTTGAAAATGGACATGTTATTTTATGGGAGTTCAGTTTTGAACAGGATTGGTGGAGGGAAAGTAGGCATAAGTGAAGGAATGTATTTCCTTTTTCTGGATACCCCAAATTAGGGGGTATTGATAGCCAGAGGGCTGTCGATGTGCTGAGGGAGGAGCATAGCCTGCTGCTGCAAGCTCTGCAATACTGAAATTTGCACTATCATGATGTACGTGAAATCTGAGGCCAGGTTCAAACATGAGTTTCTCTAAATGCGAAAGGTTCATGTAACTCCATAAAATACCACAGTGTCTTCAGGCAGAGACGTATCATGCAGGCTTTGACTGTCCCCACAGCCTATGCAGCTTGCTTTGGGGCAGCATGGCAGAGCCTGTTGACAGATCAGTTCCTCAGGAGCGACAATGGCTCTTTCTTGTTTTGGTCTCTAACACAGCTCATTGTGTATGATGCCACCGAGGAGCGTGATGAGAGTGCCCTGGATGCAGACAGCCAGCAAGCAGGACTCTCCTGGGAGGACCCTGTTGCCCGCCTCTCCCTGGGGAAGCATGCTATCAGTGGGGAGTGGGCTGACAAGAGCCACAGGCAGGACAGCAGCGAGCTGGACAGCAAGCAGCATGACCAGAGCATAGAAAACGACAGCCGGCAGAAATTTGATAGCCATGAGGTGGAAGGGGATGATAGCAAGGCTGGTGCCAGAGTGGATAGCCACCAGAGCGTGGAAAGCAGGGAGAGCCAGGTCCGCATTTCAGCTGAGGTCCCCGACGATAACAGCAATCAAACAGCGGAGAGTGCCGAGGATGCTCAAGATCGTCACAGCATCGAAAATAACGAAGTCACCCTTTAAAGGGAGGCAAATGTAATGTTTCCCTTCTTTTTCCACTCCTGCCTAAGGCGAGGGGGGAGTAGCTTCATTTTGGGTACCTGTTTGTAAATGTAGTGCGCGTGGTGACTTTTTGGGTTTGGGGCAGCTTCTTTGCCTGGTGGCCTCCTCTCAAGATGCCCGCCGTGCCAGCCTTCTGCCATGCACGCCAGGCCGGCCTCGCAGCATGCAGCCGGCCGAGGTGTGAGAGCGCGAGACGAACGCTGCCGGACACACAGGGCAAGCGTCGCCTCTCCGGCGTGCTGCGCTCTGCACCACCAGCCTGTATTTTGCTGTAACTGGATTTGAATAAAAACACAAAACCCTGCACATGTGGGGGCTGCGTTACCGTTTGCTGGGTCGGGGCAGGGGGCAGCTTCGTGGCTGCGTGCGCAGCTTTAATGCCTCTCCTTTTTAAC